GGTGGAGAGAAGTGGGAGGGAGGGGGGAGGGAGGGAGAGAGGGAGGGAGGGAGGGGGAGAGGGAAGGAGGGAGAGAGGGAGTTGGAGGAGAGGAGTAGGAGGGAGAGAGGGAGGGAGAGAGGAGCAGAGAAGGAGGGAGGGAAGGAGAGAGGAAAGGATGCAAAGAGGGAGAAGGTGGAGAGAAGTGGGAGGAAGAGTGGGGAGGGAGGGAGAGATGGAGGGAGGGAGGGAGAGAGGGAGGGAAGGATATAAAGAGGGAGATGGAGGAGAGGAGTAGGAGGGAGAGGGGGACAGGAAGGAGGAGCAGAGAGGATGTAGGAAGGAGAGGGAGGAGCAGGAGAGAGGAGCAGAGAGGGTGGAGGAGGGAGAGGGGGAGGAGGGAGAAGGGGAGGAGGGAGAGGGAGGAGCAGAGAGGCCTGACCAGGACCCCAGAGCAGCTGCCACTCACCAGAGCAGCAGGACATGGCTGCAGGGCTGGAGAGCCCAGGCGGCAGGGCTGTGGGACAGGAGTGCCCACCACGAGGAGGAGGGCTGCCGTCTCCCCCTCTGTGAAGTGAATTGCTGTAGTCACAAGCTTTAATGGAAATCTGATTTAAGACTGCACTCTGGGACAGTTTCTATAATTAATGACAACAATCTCTAGTCTCAAACTGAGAATAAAATGAAGACAGTTTAAAAGTGAAAAGCCTCGTGACATCATCATTATCACGGAGCGTTTGCAAAACCCGTCCGAGTTTCAGCGGGTACCTCCGTGCCCGTTGGTTTCATAGCCGTTAACTGCTGCTCGGTGACATCAAGAGCCATGTCCAGTGCTCCCGTGTTTCCTGGCAAAGCAAGTGTCCAACAGAAGACTCAGCCAGGTCTCTGTGAGCACTGGACGTTCCCAGCAGATCCCAAAGCCCTTCTGAGCAAGAGATTTCCTGCATTTCCCTCCTGGGCCGGCGAGGATTAGGACGGCTGCTATTTACTGTTTCACAAAGCAAAGATCATCCAGTGTGGCCACTAGGGTGTCAGACATAAGGCCTGCCCAGGTCCCAGCTGCCTCCAAGTCCAGCCTGTGCAGGTGGCCAGCCAAAGCAGGTTTTGGAGAGTCTGGGTGTCTGGCTTTGCCGAACACACCTGGTTATATATATCGCAGTCACAAATAAAATAATGAATTTCAAAAGACAAAAATCCCCAGCCTTTCTTGACCAGGCTCCTTTGAGCCCCACCTGAACCAGGGACCAACACAGTCCTGAGGCCCTTCTCCTGGAGCACAGACCATTTCTGTATCTGATGGACGCGGGGACCCCCTCAGGTGGATTTGTACACGCAGCTTGCCCTAGGACTGGGCTGCTCCTCCAGGAAGTGGACCCCGGGTGAGGTCCGCAGAGCGGGGCATCACACCCACGTGCACTCGGGGTCGGGATGGGTTCTGGGGGACTGTGACTTCTTTACATTTAAAGACTTCTGTTGGAGTGGGCAGCATTCTGGGTAACGCCCCTAATCTGTAGGAGTTGACATAGCAAGAAGTATGATGGGACGGCCACCTTGACCAAGCGCTGGGCAGGGGCGGGCAGTCTTCCTGCACCATGCACAGGGGATCAGCCTCAGCTGAGCTGGGTGTCAGACGAGGAAACCGAGGCCACTGAGCACCACGGGGGCTGTGGCCTGACTGCCACCCAGTGTCCTCAGCCAGCAAACCCAGAGTGCCACGTCAGTGCTGTGCTCGGCCAGGGTCCTGGGGGGTGAGCAGCTCAGGAGTGAGAACCACCACCAAACCCAGCCTCAGGCCCACGCTGCAGCTCCTCCTCCGCCACGTTACCCCGCGGCCCTTCACGGGTGCTGCTGCTGCTGACCACTCAGTAAAACGCGACT